GGTGGATAAATGTCTTCCTGGGTTAAGTGAACTTCCTGCTTTTTAACAGGAACTGGGTCAGGGACTAGAAAGTCATAAAGTGCCTCCAATCCAGAACTGAGTCGTTGCATTTTGGCTTGAAGTACATCGAAATTTGGGATTGACCACTTCATAGAAACCAAAGTTGTCCTCGCTTTGTACGGCTTGGTTTGAAATGCTTCCACTGGAATCACAGCCATTCTGGTAGGAACTATCGATATGGAAATGATAAGCTCCTTTTTTATACCAGGTCCTTGTTGTGCAATTCACACACTCATTTCCCCGGATGTTCACATATTCGTAAGGTCGACAGTCATCGGTCACTATGGGTACCTGTCTAATGATGTCGAAGTCTTCAAGCGAGGCTCTCAGGTAATCTGTACGTACGGTGCCATCTGTCTCGTATCGGCAAGTAGCTCTCCAGTGAGTCGAGTGATCTCTGAGCCAAAGGAGGTAGGGTCGTTCCATGAGGTAGGCCTGCCAATTTGGAGCATCACCGCTGATGGCTCGGTAGTCATCGTAAAATACGATCAGCTGCAGACAGAAAATGTGAACTTCAGTTGGTAAAGATCGCTAACATATTCCTGAACTTAAGATTCTTGCAGCTTGAAACAAAAGTTAGGCTGAACTTTTTATAACGTACCCTTCTCAATTTGAAGCATTATTGCGAATGGCACTCGAGTCTGGATAATCATTATGTATAAAAAAGATTTCTTTTGTCGACAAAATTATTCGAAGACATCATTAGTGACGAAAGCTTCTAAAAAGAGAGACGAACTTAACTTACGAAGAAAAAAATTCAAAATGAAGGCATTTCATTTTTGAGGGAACTTAATTTTCGCATCCTCGTTATTTCTTTATGGTTTTAAAGTCTGAGCAAAATTACCTTGAAAAGATGGTTGTTGGACAAATTGAATGACTCAATCAGGTTCCATGCGAACCCAGGCTCAGAATCAAAATCACAGAATACTTGGAAAGTTTGGTTTCGGTCATCAATGACGGTGTACAATCCAGTGGCGGTGAAACTGGCTGCTTTATAATCCTGACAGCTTCTTCTCAGCTGAATCTCGCAGTGTTTACCAACAAACGGTACAGGACAGAAACAGTTGTACCGAACATTTGTGGGCTGACAGATCTCAGAGCAGGTTCCTCCATTGAGACACGGATTGTTCTCGCAGCAGCCGTTGCTACATGTGACGTCAGTGGTACATGGAGCGTTGGGAGCCTTATGTACAAAAAGTTATTAAAATACAAATTATTCTTTCATATCATCATTAAGGGTTTTTTTTTTTTAAATGTAACATAAAAATCATCAAACTTGCAAGCAGATTACCTCTTAACTTCCCAGCAATCTCCCATACTAGGAGGGTTTTTTTATATTTCATCGAACCATCTTTGTTCAATGTTATACTCAGACTACCAGGAGAGATCACCGAATGAGAAATAATCTCTAAAATCAGCAAAGCAAGAGTTTTAGGAGTGAATTGCATTTTATCTTGCAAGAGTCAATAAGTTTTATTTCAAAGATTTTTCAGCATTTCACCGCGAAGTAGGTGACGTTTGAATTTTCACGGAGAACACAGATTTTCCTATAGATCTTTCTAATTTTTTGAAGCTGAAGATAATTGTTTTAATCCCACTTTGATATGTTTTAAACCGAATAAATCATTACTATTTTCAATACAAAATTTTATCATCCTTTAGACTCGAATAAAAGACGTGCGTATCTTGCAACTAAGGACCAATACCAAGGTTATTTTTCAAATTTTGAGTTTTCTGTTTTGCAAAATACGTTAAAAATTTAACGTCTTTTTCTGCAGCTGTTATCTCGGGTTTAAGATAAACAATTAGCTTAACATAAAAATAATTTCGTAGATAGGATCAGCATCCAAGCAGAAGAACAATTTTGACAGCGACAAGGAGTTTATCATAATACATTGGTTTTTATTGTGGTGATTTTTTGCAATCTATCGTCAATTTCTATTTAAAAGAATTTTAATAGA